CAGCCTGTGGAGATGAGCTGACTGTTTCCAAGCAGGGCTGAGGGAGCTCCAGCCCTGGGACTTCTCCAGCACTGTGAATTTTCCCCCCTCCTGCTGCAGGCCCAGGTTTTGCATAGCAGCGTGCTGAATATGCTCACACGGGTCTGTCTCATCCGCTGCTGAGCAGTACCCACTGGTGTGCTGAAGCATTTGCAAATGAATTCATCAGTTCTGTCCTTTAAATGTTCCCACACAGCAGCTCTAAGAATAAATGTATCCTTTAACTTCAAATGGATCCTGCTTCTCTGCAGGAGAAACTGCTCCGATTGACCCAGCCCTGGTTAGAGCTCAGGGGATGCCAGGCCTCCCACCTCTCTGAAGCCAGGCTGCTCCCCAGAGCGGGATCTTGCTGCTCAGGCGACTTCCAGCAGAGCCCAGGGCACTGGATGTGTGACATCCCAACCATTGTGTGTGGAAGAACGGGGCTCAGCATCTCCTGGGAGTCCAGGACCCCGGGCTGGGGAAGGCAGGAATGGGCCATGAGAGAAAGAATTAGGAGCCCAGGCCTGGCTGGGCAGGAGAGCTGGGTGCCTATGACTGTCCCATGCTCACAGCTTTGGTTTGTCTCCCCCATCCAGGAGTGAAATGAAACGCTGGATGATCTCACTGGCCCCGAACCGCAGAACCAAGTTTGTTTCATTTACGTCCAGACTTGTTGGTAAGAGGCACAGCACGGGAGCCACTCCTACCCCAGGGCACCTTTTTCCACCCTCATCTCAGTCCAACTCCAGGCCTGGGGCCCCTGCCAAAGCTGAGCCCTTTCCCTGGGCTCCCCTTGCATTCCCACCATCCATTCCCACTAGTCTGTGTGCCTTGCACCCCTCCAACCTGGGCTGGGCTGCACCAGTGCTCTCCCTCCCACCCAAGCTACTCAAGGGTGGCACTGCAGAGGTGATGTGCACCCAGCTCCTTTCCCCTCAGAGATGCTTCCCTGGTCCCTGTGACTAGGGCACCCCTTCTCCTCCGTGGGATTTCTTACCAGATCAGAGGGACCGTTCGCAGAGCTCATGGTGCTACAGTAGACTCCATCCCATTCCATCCCTCACTCTTGCCCCATTTCCCGGCAGACTGCCCACAGATCCAGTGTGTCCACCCATATGTGGCCCAGCAGCCAGATGAGCTGTCCTTGGAACTGGCTGATGTCCTCAACATCCTGGACAAGACAGATGATGGTATGAGGGATGGGATGGTGTTGCGTGTCCCTGCAGGAGGGTGGGCTTTGCCCTTGGCAGACAGGAGGGGCGAGGGAGAGACCCCACCACTGGCATCACAGCCGAGGAAGCTCAAAGCAGGAGGAAGGAGTTACTGCCTCCTCCTGACACTGAGCAAACCCAGGTAGTGCTGGCATGGCTGCTCTGGCACAGCCACCCCAGATGTACCCTGGACCTGTTCTTACCTTGATGATGCTTCACAGCCACCTGGTCCTGGTCTCTGGGGCACACTTGTAGCTGGTGGACTCAGTCACATCGGGTGTCTGCTGGGGACCACTCCTGTGGCATCAGGGGCAGCCAAGGGCACCCAGTGGCAGCAGTGCCTGCATTGTGCTGGCATCCCTTGAGCTAGATGGCCAAACACAGCACTGCTCAGGGAAGCAGGCCTCCTTGCCCAGATTCACAAACTGGGTCAACTCCAGCACAGACCTTGGAGCAGCTTCCAGAAAGAGCAGCTCTGTAGGCTCTTTCCAGCACAACTGTCCCAGCGCAGGAGCAAGGGCCAGTCCTTCCCTATTTATGCCTGTCTCTGTCTCTACTCAGGCTGGATATTTGGAGAGCGTCTTCACGACCAGGAGAGGGGCTGGTTCCCCAGTTCTATGGGGGAGGAGATCCTGAACCCCAAAATCCGAGCCCAGAACTTGAAGGAGTGTTTCCGGGTGCACAAGTCGGATGACAGCCAGCGGAGAAAACTGGGCAGCAGGAACCGCCAATGACCACTGGCATCCCCAAACATCTGGAGCACCTCTGGAAGAGGGGCAGAGGACAGAGGCTCATCTGGGAGGATGTGGTGGGCCATGGTGCAGGACCTGATGTGCCAGAGCAGGCACATGCATCCATGAACAAACAGCCTGCAGTTCCTGGGCTCCCTGTGGCACTGATGCTTCCCCGGAGGTCCGTGCTCTGAACTGGCTCGGATAACCCCTTTCCAGGTGTTCTGTACAGCTGCAGAGAGCACAAGCCAAGCAGACACAGCCCAGAGGTGCCGGCCAGCTGACCCCTATTCCCTGCACACGTGCTAGCTGGGGCTGGCTCGGGCTGCCTGGGAAAGGCACATGGCCACAAGCGTAACTAAGCAATTAACATTGCCTAGTTTCAGCACTTGCAGCTTGTTGTGACTTTTATAGTTTGGGTTGCTCCTAAAACAGCATCTTACGAGGTAAAACTGAAGCAGAAGAGCTGCCTCATCGCCTCTCATACAGCCCATCAGCACCAGGCTGGGACAAGCCCCAGGAACTCCAGCAGTCCTGCTGCGGAGCCGCTTGGGCCCATTCCCAAGGGCAGACCCTCAATCTGCTTCCAGTCAAATGCTCCACATCCAGCCCCGCTCCACCAGCAGCCCAACCTCACCAGCCCTGACCCCCACCTCCGCCTGCCAGACAGCCTCAGAGCACATCTAGGCCCTGCCCCACGACTCACCCCCTTTTCCACAGCTGGTGTTGCTCCGCAGGGTCACTGCAGAAGCCTGGCACTACATCCTTTCCTGGTTCATCTGGCACTTGTGGTCTCTGCTACTCGCTGCTGCTGAGGCACAGGGCAGGGTGGCTGTGCCAGTGCTTCCCCGCACACCACCACGTCCCACGGGAGCACCAGCAGCAGGTGAGGGACCTTACCCCGGGAGCTGTTGTCCCACACGCTGTGGGAGGCCCAGCGATTGCTGCCTGCATGCTTGTACCCCGCAGCGCGCCGCTGCCCGCACAGCCCGAGCGCGCCACCTCCCTGTACAGGCTCACCTCCATGTATATACACCAACCCTGTCGCCAGGCCGCGCAGAGCCGGGGCATCACTCCTTACTTGCATGAAGCCCAGGGCACAGCACTGAGACCAGCCCGGGGACGGACCCACGGCAGCCGCCTGTTGTCCAACAGCCTCGCTACGAACAGTCCCACGCGTGGCTGCAGCTGCAGGACCCCTGGAGACAGGAGGGTCCGGAGCTGCGGCCGGTGCCCATGGGGGAAATCGATTGTTTGGCATCTTTCTGTACCACTGCAAAGGAGAGTCTTGCAGGTGCTGTGACCTGCGCTGCTGTGTGTTCTGGCAGCGGCACATTAGTGCTCCAGAAGAGGATGGAGAAGAGCTGCCTGCCTGTGGAGCCACGCAGAGTGGAGCACAGCCGTGCTGATGGCAGCGGGGGAAAACAGCAGGAACCAGGGAGTTGGTTCTGGTTGGAGCTGGTCTTTGGGACACCCAGGACCAGGTTACATGTGGGGTGTGGGG